CGAAGACTGACGAAGATTGAAATGAAAATGGGAAACTTTTCACACTAAACTCTTCAAAACTGCAGGGCGACCACGAGGATACGAGGATCTAGAAACTTCTATGAGCACTACTGAGTGATAAGCCTAAATAGGTGGTGCATGGAGATATAAACAGGAAGACCCAATCATCGGTTTAGTTCTCTACACCCTCTGCCAGGGAGCGCTGATGTCAGCGCTAACCGGAGTTGGGGGTCCTTATTTATTCTCTTGGTCCATGCCCGAACTTTTGTAAGTGGCTGCAGGGACCAGTTCTATAGGACCCTGGACTCCCGTAAGAGTCAATGTAAAAATTCGTGAGCAGGTACTAGTGCTGCTATCGCGCGTAGGATCCTCGCAACTCACTGCTGTTATCAGTTGTTGGACTTCATTAAAATCCGTAGGATCGCGTATAACTGCGAAAAATCGAATTTTTCACCATACAGTAACATGCGGCGGGCCCTTCCTAGTCGAAAGGGGTCGAAAAACGCCAAAAATATACTTATTTTTCAAGAATTCAGCCGCCTTATGTGTTATTTTTCAATCTCCGGCTTAACCTCACTTTTGGAGCGGGCGATGGATGAGTCGAGGTTCGGGGGGAAGGATCCTCTGAGTTGACTAGGATCCTACGCGAGAATGCGCTGCAATCACCCGCTCACAACAGAACGGCGTCCTATAGAACTCGTCCCTGGTGGCTGTTTATCTGCAAAGCGGAATTAGGCCAATCAACCTACAACAACAACAACAACAACATACATCGTGGTTACATACGTTTTTTTTTAATCGTGGAACTAATCCAATTAATCGTACTTTAATCTACCCGTGAATTGTATAAATCAATCTTCATACCAATTGAAAAAATCTTGTGCTTGTGGTAAGGAAATAAACTCGTGTTTTTCTAAAATTCTTGACCGGTTCAGAGTACAGGCACAGGCACACCCCCTCTAACGCACGTGTTGGCACGTGTAGCCCGTGACAACCAACTCAAAAAAATCATACCCTCTCCTATTCCACTCCCTTTCTTTCTTTACTCCTCACCTCTGATGTGGATGATATGCGACAACCTCCCTCATCATGCAATGTACTAATTTCCTTTTCATGCTTGTATACGCCTCACTCATACCCAATGTCTCCTCTCATCTGCACTCTTGCATCGAAATTGAGTCCACGCCAAATAAGTTTGTGCACTTTTAGTCTACGACAGAAGATTTCCTGATGGTACTTTTACGTATGAATTAAATGGAAGATTCAATATGGCGAATCTTCTGTCATAGTCTGAAAGTGCGTAAACTTATTTGGCGAGGACTCGATGTTCTCCACACTCTGTGACAGACCATCTCCAGTGAATGAAGGTGGATCTACAGCATTTAAAGTTTTTGCCTAACAAGACTGCGCGTCTGTAGAGAAGGGCTTTCTCACATTTTCTCATTCCTTCAAGGACAGGCTCTTGAGTCCTATGCGCTTCGTTCATATGCTGATAGTAGCCGAGAGCACATCGTCTTCGGATGCTAAGTTGTTCTGCCCTGCTCTTTTTTCATCTATCCTTCCTTTTCTCCTTTTTTCCTCTATGTTTGCTTTACAATTTATACAAACTAAATCTCCTCTCGCTCTGCTACTCAGGTTTGGAGGTAACGAGGAGTCCAATCCATCCTCTCTTATTTGCCACTCATAAAATTTTAATACATACCTATTTGTGATTTTCTTTTTTTGTTTTTTAATGCTAGAAATGATCTGCTCACGGAAAAGACTGATTATGGAGTGATCATTGTCAGTTCTTTATTCAGTTGACGGAAGGAAAATTTTATCCTAGACTCTATCTGAGAAAGCCAGAGAAAGACCACTCATCACCATGTTACCACAGGTTGAAGATCTTATGAAAGAGCTCGGTTGGGCTGATGGATTTTGCATACCAGTAGCCAATGAAGAGAACAAAGCTCTTGAAAAAGAGGTATGTACAAGGTTAATAAAGCTCATAATGTATGCTCCTCTTTCGGTGAATAGCCGTAACTTTGTTGACTTAAAACATTCAAAATGCTGAGTGTATAAAATTGTTGTCCAGAAATATATCAATATTTGCACTCTTCAAACCTGGACTGTCAGACCTAGGTAAATATATTAAACAGATACTCAGCCAGTTTGAGCATGAACAATTGTCTATTAACAATTGTATATTATAGTCTTTTTGTCTATTGTCTATTTAGCGCGCACTATCTTTTATGATATCCTTTTTTATGCACCTGTCTTACCTGTTATACTACTCATTCTCTCTCTTTTTCATCCATAAAATTGACTTCCTCTACCCTGTAACCTCTGTATTATAAAAATAATTTGGAAGGGTTTCCTCATTTTGCCCTGTTTTCACAGAGTTCCTGCTGTTTTTTTCTTATTCTCAAGGGATACCTCCATTTTATGCCAGCAGGGTGGTTGCGATATGGGGAAATTTCTGTACTCGTGGTCCAGTGATGAGCAGAATGTTTCGTAACCCTGGCGCTATTTTTCGCAAAGAACCCATCATGGGTAGGTTAATCATGAAACAGGCAAATCAGTCTTCCCCAATGGTGCATACGTCTTCTAAATATGAGAGAGAAAAAAACAGCATTAATTTTTTTCTTCAAAAATATTTTTCCGATTACCATTGCCACTGTTTTTGCTCCTATGATGATTTAGTATTTTTGAAATCAAATTGTATGTAAGTAGCAGTCTTCTTTTATCTTACACCATTTTTAATAAATTACAGGTTGAAGAACAGTTACGAAAAAAAGCTGAAAAGAAAATTGCCCTTGAAGAACTGCAGGAGCGTCTGGAATCACTAAAAACTCGGGATAAGCATCTACTGGAAGAACTAAAACAACTTGATGTAAGTTCAGAGGTGTAAATTATTCTAGGCCTCCAAAATTTTCTGCAATGCGCTGGATTTCTGCAAAAAGGTGAACACAATGCGCTGATCAAAATTTTGTTAAATATTGGATTACTTTGTATGTGTGTTGAAGTTCTATGATTCGTTTCCTAGAAATTCAGGATTTAGAATCATGGTCAATTCGTAAAAGGATCATTCAATTTTTACATTGTTTCACATTACATTCCTTTATTCTTTTGACTTGCAAGATTTCCCCCATTTTATCAAATTCTTTTAATGTTATCATATGTGTACTTCTTTAGGAGCTTGTAGCAGCATATGAAACACAATGTAATGCTGAAAATGAAATGATATTATCCCTGGAAAGGGAGCACAGTATCATTCTGCAAGAAAAGCAAAACTGTAAGAAGAAGCTGAATGAACTCAGAGACTCTCGACATTCTTTAGAGGTCTGTATTGAATCTCTCTTTATTTTATTTTGAAAATGCGCCTGAACTCTATGGACTCTCTGATGAATCCTTGCCAGAGACGAAAGATGAAATTTCATTTTATACAGTATTTCAATGAATATTTGAGAATTTGGTGAGAAACTCCAAACTTTGACTCATGATATTTTTTCAAAAGTTTCCAAACTAAGAATTTACTGTTCCTATGCATTTCAGGGCGTTCAGAATCCATGGCTGAAGTTCAGAAAAAAAATTATTAAAATTCATTATAAAATTTCATGAAATTGCATCTCTGGCCCTTGCCTTGATTATACGAGTATGTTGTAGTCATTGCATATTACTCACATTGGTTTTTTTTTTTGTTTTTTATCCTTTTCTAGAATGAGAAACTTCAACTTAGATCCAAATTGAAGGGATTGAAGGCATCGGTTGAGTGGGGTGAAGAAGCTCTCCAGGCCTGGAAGGAAGATTTGTCAAAAAACAGTGGTGATGCAAATTTATTAGAAAAATATCAACTTGAAGATGACTCTAAATTCTGTGTGAGTAAATAATAAAAGTTTAGGTTCTGAGAGCCTCATTGTACGCAGCCACAATAATTGTTTGAAGGCTTTTTTCAATAGATAAAAAGAAGAAGTTAGTCTTTGCACGACCGCTCTGGCATTTACTTACAGAAAAACATGTAGTGGGTCATTCCATTGTAACGGGTGTGACAACAATTTAACTTTAAACAAGAATTTGAACTCTTTCTTGGGGTTTAATTAAAAAATGATCTGCAGCAGCAGAAAGAACTTTTTTTATAGATCATTTCAGTTTATCAGAAATTTTTTTTTACTTTGTTCCATTCCTCAGAAAAAATTAAAAGGCATGCGTAACGGGTGTGACTGATTTTGGAAGTGAGTTTTTCCCCAGTGAGTGTAAAGTGGAAACTCAGCGAATTTTATGAATGTAAAAATCTGATTAAATTATATGATGAAGCCAAGGGTTTTTGCTTCAACTGCCGATGATCCGTTTTCGATTATCTGTTTTTCTTTCCTTGAAAAATGGGAAAGTTTGCGTAACGGGTGTGACATATTGTCTCTCTGAGGTCCATCATTTCTGATAGAGTTTAAAAGTTAAAAAACTTGCTTTTCTTCTCATACTCTTATTGTAGGCAATCCTAATCAGTAAATCAATCAACAGTTTGACGCATTTTAATGTAGAACATGCCAAAACTACATTTTTCTACAAGGTGGCCCAGACCTACCGTTTGCGTCACGGGTGTGACAAATTGTCTCTCTGAGGTCCATCATTTTTGAGAGAGTTTAAAAGTTAAAAAACTTACTTTTCTTCTCATACTCTTATTGTAGGCAATCTTGAGCAGTAAATCAATCTGCAATATGACGCATTTTAATGTAGAACATGCCAAAACTACAATATTCTACAGGGTGGCCCAGACTTACCGTCCCAGGGCTTTTCTTCGGGTAACCCAGGATTCCCCTTTCGTCCCCGCGGTCCCACCATCGGCATCGGCACCTCGCATGGCCCAAATTAACCAAAAAAAAAAAAACCCTGGCACGGTAGGTCTGGGCCTATAGTAAAGTGAAAATATTTCAATCAAATCGGAGAGAGTTCAACGAGTTCTATTTGAAGTCCTTTTGAGATAAGGTGTATTCACTTTAAATACTGAAATATGGCAAAAAAGTTGGCTATCTCTCTCTTATTAGATGTATATATGACCTCTAATTATGCATATGAGTGTATTTCTTGTGATAACCGTAGAAAAAATGGTGAGAAGTGAGGCAACATCAGCATAATTGAAGCCTCTTCTCATTGGTCACACCCGTTACGCATTTTTGCCCATCAATTGTTGAGATAAAAATTCGGAAAAAATACTCCAAAGCTGTACTTGACTTGAAGACGTACGGAAAAAATTGGCATCTCAAAATGACATGAATTAAAATAGTTACATTAAAAAACCCATGTTTTGCGTAACGGGTGTGACAGTCAGTACACTAAGTTTTAAAAGTTACATATAATGTACAGTAATTACTTTTAAAAATTGAAACTTTGCAGGAGCACATTGAATCAGTTTCTTGACAACTCCCAGCATAACCTGAAACTTGGTTTTGGTGGGAACACCAAAAAACATTGCTACCAAACTGTCACTCTTTTTACAGTAGGATAAAGCTAAGCAACGGGGTTACAAAACACGTAAAAATTGCGAGAAAAAAAACAAAACGGAGGTAAACCACATATATTTCCAAAAACTAGGAGTATTAAGGAGTCCAAAAATAAATATCGTTGGGTCATTTGGAGGGGGGGAAAAAAATACCCCCCGGACTACCTAGGTGTGGAATGACCCTAGTGTCATTTCAAATGTCAGGTTCCATGATTTTTTCCCCAATAATTATTAAAGCTACAAACATCACAATGATACCATTGAAGGTAATATTTTCAGACTTCCAATGGATTAAGAGTAATGGAAGTTCCTGTGTGAGGGCGTTAGTAAATTGATTGGATCCTGCAAGTCATGTACTTCTCCAAGAAAGTGGAAGTCATAGATGTCAATAATGAACTTCTCTGAGCATTTTTGTTTTTTGTAACTTTTAATAGAGTGTTAAAATTCAAATCTGACTTCATGTTTCTAGGAGGTTGAAGTGAAGCGGCAGAAATTGCTTTCTGATGTAATGCAAGCCCAAAATACTCTAAATCGCCTTGTCAGTGAATTAAAAATATCTGAAAATGAACTCTGTCACACAACAAAGATGTTTCGTCAAGCCCATGAAGAACGGAACAAGCTTCTTGAACAGTGGGGAGCTGCTGTGAATTTCTTACAAGCTAGAGATGACACAATAATGAAAACTTTGATGGTAAGTACGTTTTCATTAATTTTTTAGTCTGTAAAAAGTATACATTGGGAATAAAATGTTTCAAGTCCTGAAGGTTTTCTTGAGAATGTGTTCATTCAAAATGTACCTTCTTAATCAAACAAAAAATTGTATTTTCTCACAAGCAGAATAGAATACTCTCAAGTGAGGTTTCCCTTTTAAAATACAAAGGTGGATCAATGATTGCTTTACTGAATCTATTTGTCTTTCAACAAGTTTGTTATCTGTTTTTTGAAATGATGACTTTTCTCTACAACAGCCTTACCTGCATGATTTTCTCTAGCCAAGTTTTGACTTGTTGTCCTCTGTCTTCAACGCAGTTCTCTAAAGTCAATGTCAATTCTTCATTGTAGTTAAAAATGCGTGGAATTGATTGTTTGCTACAACCAAAATGAGAGTAATTCTCAGGCTATTATTTGATGATTCTTATGAATTCAAATTTTAAAATGTTAAACCTCAAAAAGGTAGACAAAAACAGTTAAATTCTTTAACCACTGTTTAAAGTGACACAAATTAAAGAAATGAATAGTTTCATTTGGATAGAGAGAGAGGAATAAACAACCATTAAACTGCCTGTTCATGCTCTTTTCGAAGCTTGTAATGGTTTATCCATGCGTCTGTTCTTAGGAGCTGCAAAATCTCAAGAAATCTGGCAGAGAGAAGTACAAGCAGCTTTTGCAAGAAAGGCAGTTTTATGAAGAGCAGTTCAAAGATAATTCTGAATTGTATGCTTCAATAACAGAAAAATCCACAAATTGCGAACATCTACGAGAAGAAAAATTAAGGATCAATGAAGTTCTCCAAGAAATTTCTAGTCAGGTAATGGAAGTGACGTATCTACAAATAAAATTCATCCAAAAGATGAACTGTTGAAAATTTGTTCATTTTCTTGAGTTATTTTTCATCAAGTAGTAATCTTTATTGTGTAATCAGAATTTTCTTTCTCTCTTTTTTAGCTAGGTGTAGAGATCAGACTCTTTCAATGTCAGTTTATCACCGTCTGTTCAACAGTTTCATTGCGTTGAACAACTCTAATTGTTAAGCACCCATAATACAATCCTCAATCATTTTTGTGCAAATTGGTTACAGGAAAATGACCTAACCTCTCGACTGATTTATTCTCACAAAATTACTATCTCAAGTTTCAAAGTTATTGCTCAAAGTCTAAAATTTGCATACTTATTGCTGGAGGATCATCTATTTGGAGAAATGCATCCTTATTTGTATTAGAAGTTGTTTATTGTGGGCTGTTTTTACGAAATTGGTGGACTTGTTCTACAGGTCCTCACATCTCAGCGAGCATTGGCAGAGTTGGAACATGAGTTGGCTCGAGAGGAAAAAGAAGAGAAAAAATTGATGGAAGAGTGTGATATCAAAGAAGCATCAGTTAAGTGTCTCACAGAATCTATCGAGGACTTAAAAAATAAACTCAAAACTTTAAAAACTGAAACAACTGAAGCTCTTGAACGGAGTAGAATCCCTCACAAAATCTATGATGTAAGTCAAATTCTATTTCATGTTTTCTAGCTAATATTATAGGTATAAGGATAACACTGAGGATACTTAAATTACTATGGTACTACTAGAGAACTCTCTGACACCCGACACCTCCAAATTAAAATTTTTTAAGACTTGTCTCAGCTGAAACTGAATCCCCCACCCACTGTTAAAATCTCTCCCAAATCAAAATATACAATTTTCAGTATCCTCATACACTAGAACTCTCTCTCAAATCTAAGAACATATCATAAAGAATTTGTGCCAAAATGGAATGATTCTAACTATTTTACACTTAAGAATTTTTCAGTGTAATGAAATCATGCGTGAAATTAATGTACATCAACATGAGACGCAAAATTTTATCCCAAAACATGGCTTTTGCAATGTTGATGTTGTCTGAAATTTATATTTTACTTTTTAAAGATCTCAGGTATTTTCTATACTGAGAATAACGAATCAATAAAAGCCAATTCTTGATCTCTTGACTCCTTCTCTTTTTCCTGATTTTCTTGGTTTAGTTTTTTATTTTTTTTGGAGGAAAAAGGCAAAGTCAAATGAATCAAAAGCACTGACAATCCAATTTAGGAAAGCAGGCTTCAAAAATAATCAATTATTTTATATTTTACTGTTTAAGGACAAAGTGAAATCGTTAGAGCAAATATCTGTGAAACAGAAACGACTTCATGACTCAATGCATAAGACCGAGTCTGAATTATCTGCCATCAAAAAAGAGGGCGAACTTTGTTTCCAAGAAATCCAGTTCTCTGAAGCTCATTCAGCAGCACTTGACAAAAAGATGAAATCAATATCAAAAGAAATTTTTCACCAGGAAGAGATGTTGTACAACCAGGTAATCTTAATTTTCAATTCGTCACCATTTGCAGGAGAGAGGACCTTAATGTCAAAAAAGTCCAATCTGAAATTATGGTACCACCAGTCAGAGGAAAGTATAATGGACACNGGGGGGGGGGGGGGGGGGGGTGCAAAGCAATCCAGAGTTATGATATTTTGAAATTTTCAATTCTAAAATCGTAATTTCAAGAAAAAGCCATGTCAAGTTTTGATCTGCAATGTTAAGTTTCTGCACATGTTAAAGGTTGGTTCTTGTAAAATTCAACGAAAAATCGTTGGATTTTGCTGTACATGTTTACCCTTTATTGTCATAGAAAGAAATTGAACTGCTCATAAATTGCTGTGTGATAGAAGAGAGAGTACTGAAAACTTCAGTTCGGAATTTTAACCAACCTTGCTTAAGATCGCTCATCTGAAAAAATGTTCCTCTTGCTCTAAAGCCCCTTTCCCCATAGTTTGTCACATGTGTATTTCATCTACAATTGAATTATTTTACAGCAGTTTAATGTATCATTTAAACCATTCTTCCCTCCAGATTTACTCGACTACTCACCATTAAGGTAGTCCTCAAAGATGCATGAGCATTTTCCAAGAAGCTAAGTCTTTTTTTCTTCAGTTCTAACTAAATCTATTAATGTTTTTGTAAATTTGTACCAAGACTTGAACGGAACATAAAACTTTTTGGTGATCTTCATACAACGGAAAAGTAACTGGAAGCATTTTTAACATCCTGAATTTAGTAGACCCCATCTTTTCATCTACTTAAGCAACAAGCAGTTTCAGTATGTTCGCAAGCCCATGAAAAGGGTAAATTTACCTCAAACGGGGTTTAATGTTGTTGGCTGCTTATTATTAATTTGCTTTTTCCCTCCTCTCTCTATGTGAACTCCCTCAAGTGAACAATACTTACCAAATCTTTTTAGAATTTTGTCTCCAAGTTAATTTCTGTTCGTTGTCTTTTCAGAACTTGCAGCTGACTCAAATCAACACTGAAATTGCATTTTTAGAAGGCAAACGAGATTCAGAGTATTTGGAATCCTTGAAAAAAGAAATTGAAATGCTGGAAATCGATTTGAAGGAAAAAACTAAAGACCATGATTTTATTCTTACCCAAGTTACTCAAAGTGAAGTGAGTATCTATTTCAATCTTCGGCCGAGTTAGAAAAATATTAGCACTCAGAAAGAGCACTTATCTTTCTAATTTTCAATATATTTTTAAAATACAGATGAGTCTAAAAAATTGAGAATTATGTTCACTTGTCATGCCAAGTTGAATTTTTCCTTTAAGTGATCTTGGCCTTAGTTCAGAGACTAGCAGTAAAGGGCAATTACTTGCAACATGTTCCTAGGAAAACAATGCACCTCACACAGATGGGCATAATTGCATTTTAATCGTAAAGAAAAGTATGTAGATCAGTTGCAATATGCTAAAATAATTGTAGGATCAGTGGCTTATCACATAGATTTATAATCGCAAAATGCTGAATTGAGGCCCTCCGTTCTTACCTAGAAAAATGCTTTACAGCAGTCAAAGTTGCCAAGCTGAGATTCTGGCGAGTATTCGTTGAACAATTACTTCCTAGTAAGAATAGTTGGAAATCACATGAATGGCAATGCAATTATTGTGAACTTGAGAAAAACTGCAGCTCCGCGCTGGGTGTTTCCACTTTGTGACTCGCTACTTTTTCTTCTGTTGTTGACTACCTGTACTGTTGGTGATACTTTCTCGGTAACTCCGCATTTCTGTCAGACTGAGTGTGAAAATAACGCAACAATAGGACCCAAAAAGGCAAATTTCTAAGTCAGTCTAAATTCGAGATTCTAACTAATCCATAAATTGAATATAATTGTTTATATGGGAAATTAACCGGAAAAGAGATTCCGCTCATCAGTAAGTCGACTTATGGAGGTTACTTTTAAATCCTATTTCGCAGTCGGTAAGCTTAAGGAATCAATTTTCCAGTGGGACATTCGGAAGGTAGCATTTGACAAAGACAGAATTTTGAGTCTCAAAATGGGCCATACATGTTCAAGTCGTCATGTTGTGGTTTTCTCCTGGTTTCTCTCTACTTTCATCTTCAAAGTTATATGCCCTCAATCTTACTTTTTTCTAGGATGAGCTTAAGAGGATTAAGTCAGAATTCTCGAAAGATGATCCTGAAATATCAAAGTTAAAAGATTCCATTACAGATTTATCAATTATAGTTGAAAATGGTAACTCCTTTGTCTTCAATGCACCTCATTTCATTGCTGCTCGTTCAAGCCTAAACATTTTAATTTTTTAATTGTGACATCTGCCGAGAATAGAAATGTTTCTCTCATGCACCAGTTTCTTTTCGCTTTTACTTTGCACTTCAGTCCTTTCTCTATTATAGTAGGAGGTAGAGAAATGATGTAAAATTCATTCGGACACAAAATTTTTGTTTGCACCAAGTAGTTATCACCCAACACAATCTAATAAGCTCTGTATAGCATTGTGTTGGTAGTTTGTTATGGCAGAATCAAACTTTCTATAATTCACTGAAAATATCACAGTTTTCTCAAAAATAAAAAAAATTACAATTTTTGTTATAAAATTTCCTTTCAAAATAGAACTATGATCTGCTGCTTTTTATGATTTCATTGAAAATCAGCTGTGCCAGACAGTTATGACCTCCTACAGAAATGAGATGTTGTGAATCGGCAGAGTATTTCATATTTTCTAGAATTTTAACCCTTCAACTATCTTGTAATTTTGTGTTATTTTATGGTTTCTACGTTTGTTAGGAAGAAGAAAAAAATCTCATCTCTCCTACTATGGATTCAACTTTGAAACATTATTTTTTCCAATAACCTTTCCTTTTTGAGCAAAATGTTAATTCAGTCTTTTTCTTAACCAGGTCAAAGGCAGATTCGAATTGCTGAAAACGAGGTAAATGATAAACGTGTTGAAGAAAACTTGCTGAAACTTCGCGCCAGCCATTTGGAGAAATTAATCGCAAAAGGAGGGGCTTCCTTGTGTGATCTAGAAAAACAGCGCTCACTTTTGGAAGCTGTAAGTATAATTTATTTCGCTCTCTCTTTTTCTCACTCCCCTTTAGAAGAAAAGTAGAATAAAGATACAACCTTCTGATGTGAAAGACCGTAGATAATTACTTACTTTTGATACTGATCCTTACCGAAATGTCATGGTTAAAAAAAATGAAGGACTGAAGTACTCAGAGGTACCTTTTTGAGATGTGTTTTTTTTTTAAGTTGGGTTGGAACTTTCAAAGGGGTTTTTGATAGAATCTACTCCCTGGCAATCCGAAGAGTAAGTTTTAGGTGTCCTAGTTTATTTTTTATAAAGAGCCTTATAAAGTTGTATTTTAATCAAACAGCTTTGTTCCTTGACTCTCAAAGATTGTAACCTCAAATGTATTTTTTTCAAAACTGATCTTTGAACTGCGAACTACAAATCATCATAGTTCCGGTCTGGTTTGATGTACTTCTATGTGTTTGGTTCGTTTTTTGTGTTTGTGTGTGCCAAAATGTTTGTGAAATATTCCACTACGCAGTAATATTGGTCCTAATATCTCTTGTAAGTGTGCAACACCATTGACAACAGATGATTTCAAATAGTTTTTTTTCTTGTGTAGGCAATGAAAGAGCGTCTGATTGAAATAAAAACAATGAGGACTTTATTAATCACACATAAGAAAGCTTTACAAGATGATCTTTCGGAGTTGAAGAAATCAGTGGAACACCTAAACATACGTATCAATCAATTGAAGAAAAGGTTAGCATAGAAGTATTGACAGGTTTAATAGTAAATACCAAAAAGTATCCAACTATTTACCTAATGTTTTGCTGATGTCCAAGTCATATGGGGCACTTACATCACCTGGATGTTCTTGACAAGTTCAACTGCAAGTTGTCTTTTTGTACCTCTGTCTGGCGGAAAGACCTTTTCACAAGTTTGTTACTTGCTTGCACAACCATATCTCAGCAAATTTATAATATTATAGTAAATCATGGCGTTTTTAAAGATAATACACCAGCACCCTCCACCTACTAAGGCATTAAAATTTTTTCAGAATAGGCAATTTAAGGATCTACAGAACCTCTACTTTTCTCAAACTTGAAGTTTCTGCATAAGAACTTTTTAGGTAAAGAGTGTTTATGATGAAATCAAAAGTAACTTAACATTTAAGAGGAAAAAAATGTGGTTTTTCTTAGGTTGGAAATCATACAAGATACGATGGGAGAATACAAAGGCTCTGACCAGGTGACGGTCACCCAGCTAAAAATAAAAATTGCCCAAACAAAGGGTGAGCTTCAAGAAGAAGGTGATGATCTGGATGCCAAAATCAACAAAGCTGAACAAGAAATTACTGCAATGGAAAACACATTGCAGGTGATCAATGCATCAAACAACCTCTACAAGAGAAGCTTGAGTGCTGTGGATTCGGATGCACCAGAGGTAAAGGAATTAAAAGAGATGGAGCGTCAGTATCATGCTGCATCACAAGCTCGGAAAGCTCTGGAAGAGAAACTAAAATCACTCCATGAAGAAATCGAGGTAGGTGATGTTATTGCAGTTGGAAATGAGTGGCTTTTGATGAAATAAGCAAATTAGGACCTTTGAATGAGTTTCTGATAATCCTTAATATCCATACTTCATTGATGATTTCCTGACTCCTGTATTTTGGCAGTAAGTATATTTTTTAGGAAAACATACGCTTTTCTAATTGATTTCACCCTAAAGTGTAAGTACGAAACGACGTATCTTTATTCTGGTACCTATTTCAAAATTTCCCCTCTGGAGAAAAACAAGCCAACTTTACAGTCTGAAACTTATGAAGAATATTCTGCCAATAGAAAGTAAAAATCAGGGATGGAAAGCTATTGCTATGTTAAATAGGATTCATTGGGATCAAAGTATCTCTAAAGAAAAAAAAAGTATGATTTATAACACCATAATCAAAAGCATTCTGACCTACAGCAGTGAAGTGTGGCCCATGAAAGATCGTACCAAAAAGATTCTTAAGGCAACTGAGATGGATTTCTGGCGAAGATCAGCTGGAATCTCGAGGAGAGATCACATAAGGAACGAAAGAGTCCGTGAGATCATGAACGCCGAGCAGAACATCGTGCATGAAATTATGACCAAACAGCTTGTCTGGTATGGTCATGTTCAACAAATGGCAGATGATAGGTTGCCCAAGAAGGTGCAAGATTGGGTTCCTCCTGGGAGAAGATGTAGGGGACGTCCAGAAAAATCGTGGATAGGTGGCATTCAATTTGAAATCACAAGATGCCATTTACCAGATGACCTCTGGATCGATAGGCAAGGATGGTGATTAGGTGTCGCAGAGCGCCCGGGCGTGCTGTACAGTGACTCGAATGTATGTATGTAGAAAGTAAAAATCATGGAAGTTTTCAAGAAATTACTTTGACTAGTTTTCCTAAGAAAAAATGAGTATGAAAGGAAGTCTGCAATGTCGCAAACGGATGTACATGGGTTTTGCACTTTGGCCATGGATATAATGTGATCAGCTACAATGTGTTTTATGTAGGCCCACATCCCACTCAGTATTTTGTTCAATGCCAATTGTATTACTTAATTTTCCAAGCTTCACCCTATCTCCCTTGAAAGTTTCATGCATTCATCGCTCTTTTTCTTTCTCTTACAATATCATACCATTCTTTCCGTTTGCCCCGCCGGCCATTCCTCTACTTTGTGCCGATGGCTGTCCCTCTTAGTCTCTCCGCTGCCATGCCTTATTTGTCTCTTTACACATGCCGTTTTTGAGGCCACAGTAGGGGGTCATCCATTCTCAGTCGCATCAAAAAATCATGAAACTTCACAATTATTCGTTTCTAATTTTTTGAGGCCTTGGTGTGTTGTAAAGTTCACTTTTAGTCTCCCAAGTTTTAGATTTTTGACTTCTATTTTTCCAAGGACCGGTTCTATCTCCTCTTGCAATGGATTTTTTTTGTTCTAAGAACATAAGAGTGAGCGTTGCCAACGTAGTATGTTTCCACTTCTCACATATTTTTTTTTTACTCTTGTGTATGATTTTCTCTAATTTTTTTTCAAACAGAATTAGCTATTTTTCAGATTTTAGAAGTATTAATTGAGGGCCTTGATACCAATGTCAACAGATCAATAGAAGTCAGATAGATCTCTCATTTATGTCTCGGTGTTATATATTTGCTGCTTCGTCAAAGAAGTAATGAAAATGGTCATTGAAAATTAAGATATTTTATTTTTTTTCTTTGTTATTCCAGAGAATTGAAAAATCTCACTGTGAGCTAAAATCAAGTGAAGAAGAGCTAAAGAAAGTGTATCAACAGAAAGATCGAGATGCTCAGGAATTGGATCGGCATTTAGAAAATCAGGAAAGAAAATTGCAGCGAGCAGACAAAGTATTGAAGAAATTAATTCGGGAAGTGCATCTCAATGTTGAAAGAGCACCTGTAATCGAATTTGCAGAGGTATTCCTAACTTATTATTTTGATGAGCTCTATCAAGAGAACACTTGTTTTAGAAATATTTTCTGCAAGAACGAGACAAGAAAATTAAGTTCACAAAAAAAATTTGCCTTTTTCTGATCCATAAAAACCAAAATTATGAAACATGATGTTAAAATTTTAACAGACCATTATGTACAAGGTGATCTAGACATCCCTTCCAAGTTTTTCTAAGGTTATTCAAGGTCGAAAGAGGTCAGGGACAGAAATTAAGTCAGGAATCGACCTCAAGGATTTTCAGTGTTCTGAAGCTTGGATGGTCTGGATCACTCTGCATACAGATGACAGGTAGGATGAAAGTTTGGCTGTTAATCTCCAAAAATCTCCTTTCTCTTGCAAAATAATGGTATTCATAACACTTATGGCTTTGGTTCGATTAATTTCTCTCCACGGTATGATCGAAAAATTTTCATCAATTTTCATTCTATCAACATAAAATGCTTGGATGTTTCTCAGCATGGGTAACTAAAAGGATATGTTCTCTTTTTTAAGCTCGGAGAACACATAATGAAATGAAAATTTAGTATTATTGCTCTAATCTTTCAGCAAGACATCAAAGTGAGGGAGCTTAAAGAACTCAATCAAAGTGCCCTTCTGCTATTGGCAGATCTCTCAGCAAGATACATAGAAACAGGCCCAACCATCAACAGGTATTTGGCGGAGAAAAGTCTTACCCTGCCATCAGTGTACGCAGCCGGACCATCTATCTCATCCCGATCAAAACCACCTAGCTCAGTGTCTAGTCATCTTCCCTCACACGGGTAATGAAAAATTCTTGGCTCAAAGCCAAAATACTATCTTAATTTAAATTCATAAGCATTACCTTTGTTGTATTACTCTTTTCATTTTACAGCCTATTTTTTAGCTTCTTCCTCCCTTAAAAAGTCTTTCACCTAGTCTGATAAAAAAAAAAAATTACAAGGAGCCAATTTTTTTAAACTTTAACCATCTATTTTATTTTAATAACTCTTATTGGCAAATAATCAACAGGAAATAAGATACTTTCTTTTTTTTTACACCAAACTCCGATTTGGAAACGGTTTTTCCGGATTGGTAGCTAAAGCGCAATATTATCTTGTTTGATAATATCAAATTCGGACATAGCGCTGAAAAATACATCAGAACCTGCTTTAATACTTTCAGACAGAAATTTTGCAAGTGAGATTCCATTTCAGACCCACAGCGCCTGGACTACTCTCTGAGTTGGAAAATACATTACTGGCTCTGATGTGCTTACAAATAATAATGTGTCTCGCAATGTTTGCTTATTGTTAATTGCCAATGTTAAATTATTTTAGAACTGAAAGCAAAATTCTTTAGCTTGATTTTAAAACATCATTTAATTAGCCTACAAGATAGCAGTCAAGACAGTCCCAAAAGTTATCTAATAAATGTTTGAATTTCTCTTTCCCAAATTGAATATTTTTTTCTACATTCATCTAGAAATTACGCTGATGTAAGTTTTCCTCATAAAAATCTGTATAATTTTGGTGACGTTGCGTGGTGTCAACAAACCCCAAGACTTGAAATTTGTAAGATGTTATGGAGGGAAGTTTTAAGCTTCAGTGACAATCTGGTCATTGACTTTCATAGGAGTCAGAATTTTTATTTTTGGATGATCATGGTGTCAACAAAAACTTAGAAAATCTGTTTGTTGACACCATGCTACATGATCATAATTTCCTAAATGATATTTTACCTCCTTGAGCGGTGGTATCTGACTAACATTATTTTTCTAAATCTGTTTGGAAATCGTATCTAACAACTACTTTTCTTTTCTACTGAAAGCGGCTGAGCATAGTTTACTGTTAACTGTAAAGAAGGAAAACTTTTCCTTGTGGACTCATGTGTTTTTTCCTTTCTTTTCTTCCAGCCCGAGCAATCTCTCAATCGATGGTTCTGCTCTCCATCTTGACAAAGCTCCGTCTTCCTCGGTGCCTAATGTTATGATCCTGAACCCGGATATAATCGGAACTTCCAAAGGTAGGCTTTCTTCAATTAGCGTGCATGAAAAAAAATAATTTCAAGATTGCCAACCCGGGCACAAGCAGAAGCTCTTTAGGCAGACTGTGGGATTAAAAAACTGAAACTTCATGGGGAATTAAGTGGTAGTTATTATGGCAGGAACCTCTCACTCACCTCACTTCTCAAAAACTCACCACTTTATCTACCTATCCCTTTTACTCACCCGGGAATTATCTCCCAAAAATATCTTTTCCGGGGGAATGAGGGCATAGGATGGTGCAGTTTACAAAGGACTATAGAAACAAGTCCATCAGTCTAGTCTAGAAAGTGAGGAGACCTAACCAGAAGCGGTGGAATTGAAAAGCAGAGGAACAAAATCAGCAACAGAGTTAAGTAGATGTAAAAGCCGAAACCAAGTACAGACAAAACTTCAGTTAGACAAAGCAGGTAGTAATGCAGCAATTCAGTAGAGAGAAAGACAGCTGAAATTTTGAAATATCAGCACAGTAAAGCTAAGAATTTGAACAATTCGAGCCATAGCAGTGGAGTGCATAGAATGATAACAGATAGCAGCTCTGTTGCCAGTTGCAGATAAAATATTTCCGATTGCCAGCAAGGTCACAAGATAGCCAAAAAAGGGGCTCGATTGTAGATTCCTGTTAACAAGAGCAGAGAAATCCTCGCCACTCTGACCTTAAGGGCGTATCTCTATTTCCACATGACCCCTGTTCTCTGCATAACCCTATGCTTTCTGAGGGTCATGTGGAAATAGAGACACACCCTTACCTCAGAGGAGCAACAAAATGTCCTAACTACAGATAAAAATTAATTTTTGCCCTGTAAGATAATCATCTGAGAGTACAGGACAAACCATGTACCATATTTGCGTCTTCGCATTTTCATCACCATTATTAACCCATGCCACCTTCTTCCCACACTTTTCCCTCCCTTTTTCCATCTGACTACCTGTTTACTGAAACATGGAAGGAGCCTCGTAGTGTCCAGCTACCTCCTTTTACTCGTCCTCTGCACACTCACTCGTATCTAAATGCAAATCCTGGATTTTCAACGGTCTCATTCTTCTTCTATTCCTCACCCATTCCCTTAAATCTCCAGGACTTCCCTCCCTCCCCCACCCCCTCTAAAGCCCCCCTCGGAGTGCCTTCCCAGTGAAAATACTAACTAGCCGTCACCTTTGGAGCATAGTTTTACCACAAGCAAATAGATATTCTCGAAGGTCTTCTCTGTTTTTTGCCTCCAGTTCTGAGTATTTGTTTCTACTTTTCAGAAACAGCTGGGAGTCAAAAAAAGGTTGGTTTGCAAGGTGCAGAAAGTCAACGTCAGAAGAAATCAAATTATACCGGTGCTAAGAGAAAGGATAGCAAGTCTTAAATCAGCAAACTAACTATTCTCTCCTGTTTTGGAGCTATCCAGTTTAGTAAGTTAAATTTTTGTTTGTCCCTTAATTTGGAATATTTTGGAGAGGTTATCATATGCAGTTAATAAAGCTTTCAGATGGGTTTAACCTAATTAAAAGTAATCTTATTTATAAAGTGAAGAGGTGTCCTATAGAATCTCAGAAATTAATGTAAACTAACTTAATTTCAGTTTAAAATTTTTGCAGATTACTGGCTCCTTCGAATTTTCATCTGTATTATATTAATGAAATCTCTTATCAAAATTCATTAGAAGAGAGCAGTAGATCCCCCTCTCATTTTTCTGGGCTTACATTGTGTAATTGACAAAGGGATAAAAAAAATTTTGTTTGGCCTATATTCTTTTACTTTATTATTATTAATTAAGAATAAGAATATCATCATTATCATCAATTATCAATCAAAGTAAAATTGTCTCCAGTAATTCGGGTGTACTAGATTTTACCTCAAGTTACCATAGATACCGAAACATATGTGCTAAAATTTCCTCACAAATTTTTGATGACTTGTTATTGTTTTGAACCACCTGGTTGTACCTAACCTCAAAATTTTTGCTGAAAAATTAACTCTTATTTTTATTTTCTTCAGTTTTCTCATGCTGGTAGTCTTCAAATTTCGATGGAGAAAAATGTGACCATACCCGCGTCGTGCACAAGCTCATGTTACATGCATTAATACAATTTTTTCGGAACCTCATCATGAGTAACCCAGAAGAAATACCTACGACAAGCGGCGGAGAATCACCAGCAGCCCAGGTTGGAAATAATCAGAGTAAAATATTGCGAAACTCCCAATATGTTTACTCATTGCGTCACGAGAACAAACGATCAACAAGTGGAGCCTCAGTATTAAAATTAAATTCGCAAAAATCTAGTGCAAAGCGTCCCAAAAAAAAAGAACAAAAGAACCCAATTATCCCAAGAATAGTAATAAAAAGGCTCAATAATAGGAAAGGTAGGCGAAAGAAAACCAGTCGAAAATCAAAAGGAACTATTAAAACAGTACAAGGAAATGTAGTGAATCTATTGGCTCCCACAACAGGGATAAGTCCTGCGAGTGAAGAAGCTCCTTCATCACCCAAAAATAGTTTAGGATCGAACAATCAAAGCATGGGAACGGCCAGTAACTGCATCGAACCAAACCAAAACAATGCTATGCCCTGCGATAGAATGGTAAAGAAAAATCCTAATGATATGGAGGTTGACAGTCCCAGTAATAACAACCCTTCTAGTGAGTATTAAATGCCTTCTTTCATCCAAGAAAACACGAAATTACTTTCAGCTTTTCTTGATTAATCATACCTTCTCTCACTTTCAATGACTTGCTAAGTTTAACATGAGTAAGTTTTTTAACACACTGACCGCTATTGACCTATCATATATTTTTGGCTGTGACACAAGGTTTCCAGTGTTGTAGATTAGTGTTAGGATTCCAAATTTGTTTTTCCTGTGTTTATTTTTATCATTTATTAAGTATTTAAGGGAAGTATCAAAACAGTAATTACAGCAGTGCTTGACTCTTACACAAACTACATTTTGATCAAAAAGGACAACCTATTAGTTTCTAATTTTCAGAGAAACTCTAGAATCTAATTCCTGACATGAAAAAGTGTCAGGTACGTCGAAACGCGAAAAAAGAAAACAAATTAGACCTGAACGCCTCGCCTCTCAATCACACGTTAAACTAATCCTTTGCAACTATTCGCATAATTCTTAAGATGTTGAATCGATCAATTCGAGATTCGATTAATATACCGACATGCAATTAGCACAAGTACGATTCTCTGAAATTGTGATGACCTGACTTACGGGTCGGGGCCAAACTCGGCGCACTGGCCTAGAGTTGTGCCCGATATTTATACGAGGACGTAGCTGGAGCGTCGCGATATCAGCCTACGGGAAGTTTCCAAAGAGAGATATCTTGCAGCTGACGTCACAGGACTCCAGAGGGATTGTCGCGTCGGACAATGGTTGCCCATGGTCTCTGAGTGGAGAGAGATCTCGTTCAGACCACCTACACAACTTGACAGTGGTCGTTTTGGGGGGAGGGGGGCAGTCGTCGACCCTCCCAAAATGAGGGACCTAGACAAAAAGAGAAAGAGTCTGGAGTTCGTCTTTTGACTGAATCCAATTTTTTTTTCGAGTTGGCTATCTTATCAACTAAATTCTCGACAAGATCCTGAAGAGATATCATAGGGGAAAAGACTTGAAAAAGGGGGATGGTGCTGGAAACAAACCGGAGTGATTCGTCTTATTGGTAGACTCGTCAATGGCGCGCAAGTGCAAGCCGGAGTCCTGAGCACATGCACAACACGACGGTGTAGCGAAGACTGATTTCCTTAAGCATCGGAGCAAGTGATCCAGCTCCCTACACTTAGGTTGGTCGGCAGCGCGCATGCGCATTTCCTAGCGGACATCAGCGTTTTCTATAGAGTCAGTGCTCCTCCTAACGTAGCCAATTTCCCCCTCTAATGATGAAATTGTCTGGGAAATTGGGTGTCTCCTCACATTCCCCCTTCAGGGCAAAATATAATCCTCCAAAGATTATATTTTTATCAAAAGAAAGGAATGAGAGACTTCGGGCGCGCTACTGAAGAGGAAAGTCTGGTTCTGGTGCAAAATCCGCGTGCCAATGTTGGGCAACCGCGCTCTGCTTTTATGAATGGAAAAAATCGTATGTGTAGACTCGTCCGAATCGCTCCTGATATTCTGCCAGGAGAAAGAAAAAAAAGAAAGGAAAGGAAAGAAGAGTAGAAGATACGTGTTGAGATGTCACCATTTAATGAGTGTAGTTGAGCTGTAGACGGGAAAATAGGAAGAATTGAGTAACGAAAAGTAAATGGGATATTTTGAATTAGGGGAAAGAAAAAAAAAGGAAAAAAGATAAGGAAATATAATAGAGATCTTGTCGAGGAATTCTCTTAAAACTAAAATTAATAGTACACATTTTTAATGTACATGCTACTTTTTAACATTAATTTCACACTGGTATTTTTGCAAGAGAAATGAAAGCCAACTTCAAACTCTGTAAGATTTAAACTTAATTTAGAACATGGAAGTTCGTTCTATGAGGGTGATTTTTAATTCAAAAAGCGGTTTAAAAAATCCATACTCGTAATTAACTTGTCTATCATTAAAAGAAAATGGGTAACTACTTCGTTCCTCCTTGCAATTTTATTTATTTTTTTATTTATTTAATCAAATAAGAGGCCAAAGCCCAAACAAAAATAGAACAATACATAAGATAGCACCAAAACAAAGCTTAAATGAAGACAAACAAGATAACAAGTAAGAAGTAAAGATAGAATAGAAAACAAAGTACCCTATAATACATTCTCATAGTATTTCAGCACCTCCCCTTTTAAAACATTTCTAAGGGACCATTAGGGGGAAAAATGTTTAAAAAATAGCAGAAAAATGAAATTTTTAGATGGATAAAAGTAGGGGGGAGGGGGGTGTTGACAGAAAGAGGGTGGGAGAGACAAAGAATTTAGTGCATTATGTGTTGATACGTGATTTTTCCGGAGCGTCACAGGTATTCTCCATTTTGTTTATATTGTTCCAGCCTCTTTCGTTGTCTTCGCTCCTCACGTTGTTTTGCTTTCTGTCTTCTTTCTCTGCTCTCTGCGCTTCCCATTTTTTTCTCCCGGGTTATCTACGATGACCACTTGGTCCTCCTGTGACGTGGATGGTGTATCATGTAGTGGTGCTTTGTCCTCGCTCCCCGCGCATGTGATTTTGTAGATCACTGGGTGATGACACGTGATTTTCTGGGATAGGGTTATCACGGATGTCTCAGCAGTGGAAAGTTTTGGATCCCTTAATTCTGTAGAATTCGAAGTTTTGGGGTCCTCCTTTATTCCTTCTACAGGAATTTCCTTTTCGGTTTGTTTGTGGGTTGTCTGTCGGAATTCCGGCGGCAAGAACTTTTCGAGGATCTTTATTTTCACAAAACATTCTGTCAAGTCGCGCTTCGCCGGAATGAAATCTTCAAATTCGTCGTTTGGTTTTCTTCTCTTGTGATTCGCTAAGAGTGGGCGATAACTTGCTTTTTCCGAGCTGGCGTTTTCGATCAAGTGTAGTTTCCACTGTAGGTGTTGGGGTTTTTCTGAAGTTTCAGACTTGAAGTTTGTTGTAGTTTGACTTAGCGATTTGATTGTGTCGTTTTCTCTGGATTATCTGGAATATCCGACCACTCACTCATCATTTTCATGATGTCTTCATGGAAAATGTTGGAATTTTTGTAGGTAAGCTTCTTCTTTGTTTATCCCAGATTTTAGGGGGGGGAGGGTTTAGGTGCCGAAACTTGACCAATCGATGTCGTTGCTGCCCCTCATCTTTATTTTATTTTTTATTTATTTATCACATAATGAGCTAAAGCCCAACTAAAATAGACAATGCATAAGATAGCACAAAAACAAAGCTTAAATGAAGACAAACAAGATATCAAGTAAGAAGTAAAGGTAAAATAGAAAACAAAGTACCCTATAATACATTCTCAAAGTATTTCAGCACCTCCTCTTTTAAAACATTTTTAAACTGAGTAATTACAAGAGAAGACTTAGCGAGATGCTATGGTAACTTGTTCCAGGACCTTTTAAATCTGACCACTACAGAATTGAAGCGATATGAAGTCCCGGAAGGATCATCACACAAGGGCCTGGAAATTCTTAAAGAATATTCTAGCTCTCTCGATCTGAAAAAACTTAACAAAACAGGGGACTTAACAAAACCATTTAAAATTTTAAACAGAAAAATTAAATCTGTGATATACTTGCACGACATGGCAACAGGGTGTGGAATGAATTGAAAGACTCACCTTCTTTCTGATTGCGACAATAGAATAGGAATCGTGAATGCAAGGTGTTTTTCTTGGGGTTACAACAGTTTACAAGGGCTTAATATACACACAAGTCCTGACTGTTGCATCACTCATTAATGAAGGGGCTTATATTTGATTTGCACTTTGCAGTGAAATATGATTTTTCTTTTCCTCTCAGAAGGAACAAGAAAATTTGGGTCACTAGGTTTAAGAATTTGGCCGATTCTTTACCCCTTTAAATCTGAAAGTTTTTTGGGATTTTTGCAGTTTTCTCATTGGGGTTTTTTGCAGTTTTCTCATTCGGGTTTTTTGCAGTTTTCTCTTGTCACTCATTGTACAACCCTCTTCAGTCTCTGAATTCTCGTTTTGTTCATTACTTAAATCTTCAATTAGTTTTCAATTTCCCCTCCAAGACCTTTTCCTTCCTGACTTGTTGTTATCCTGTCTTGCAAACAGACTCCTGTTAAGATCGCCAAGTAGAGGTTGTTCTTGATCATCAAATCCTGAATCCTCACTTAGACAAACCGCAAAAGTGAAGTACAAAAGGCCCTCAATATTTTTTACGTCGGTACTGAGGAGTACTTACACAGATCGAATATGAAACTAGTGAGTTCTTCTCGCGTAACCATCATTGTTTCGCTTCTTATGTGATTTTGGGGGCATCCAAGATGCTATTATTTTAACGACATGTGCAACGTTACATCTAATGAAGAAATCTGGTTTCACGACTTTCGAAGGGTCCATCAGAACATAAGCACAATTTTAGAGGTACGCTTGCAATGATTGGAGCTCAGTAAAAACTTAAATAAGGGTAGAGATTGTAAGGGGGGGGGGGTGCTCAGGTGGCTGGGTAGAGCTGAGGAACAAGCCGGTTTGGAGTATTTTCGGGTAGAGATATATATATATTCGCAACAAAACACACTATTTCGGACTTTAAACACACTATTTCAGACTTTAACTAACTACTTCAAACTCCGACTACTTACGCGTAGGGCTGCGGGCCTCTTGTATGAACGTTAGACCCCGGCACGTCGATTGATCACCTGTTTTATAGCAGCGGACGAGGCGACCCATGGCCAAGACCGAATAATGGGCCCAATATTCGGCCCCGAGAAAGCTCGCCTCGCGCCGCTACTCAAAACAAGCTGAGCAAGAACGTGCCGGAACAGAGGTCGCAAACTCTACGCGTAAGCCAGAGTTTGACCAAAATGGGACCGTACATGAGATGTACGCTTCATTCCCCCTGCTTTAAATGGTCCCTTAAAAAAAACGTGTGATGAAGGATATACATGTAAATACAGAATAAATGCATAATTAATATCTAATAAAAATCAGACGTATACTGCAGATGTATCTTGTGCCAATGAAAAAGGTCGATGATCAAGCCAAAACGGTAGTTCCCCATCCGA